TTTAGCTCAACAAAGTGGCTTTATTGCAGTGTGATTTGGCCTGCTTGCTTTTAGAAATTGGAAGGGTAGAACTGTGCTGGGATTACTTTCCACTGCCTTTGAAGTTCATCCTGGATCAAGAACTAGTTTACTTTTGTTTTATCTTAGTTTGGAACGTAGATTAGAACAGTGCAGCTTGGAAATTCTGCTGTTTAAAAACAACAGCAATGAAAAGAACTTGGAGATCAAACAAAGCTGAAGTCTAATATTAGATGGATGATTTTATAAGTGTTTATTAGAAAGTGTCCTGAGTGTGGATGACATAGACTGGGTTTTGACTTTCAGCCACAGAGCTGGGGGCTGCTGTGAGGCTGAGAGGAGGTTTGCTGCCAGGGCTGTGGGGATGATTGGCCTCGGCAGGTGCCTGGTCATGAAATGTCTCTCCTGCTTGCCTCCTTACTTCCCAAAGAATATGGAAATGGAGCTCAGTAGGAACAAATATTGGCAGTTTCATAGTTTTAGAAGTATTCTATGTAACATCAAAAACAAAACTAAACTTTTTTTTATCCCTAATTCATACTTGATTTAAAAAATTTTAAAAACTCATATTGTAAATGCAGAATTAAAAATGGATTCATAAAGGATTGCAAGGATGTTTGTGCTGCTTAGAAATTTGTTTAACTTGCAGATAGCCTGTCTTACAATTTTAATGCCGTACTCTTCTGTACATACACCTTGTTGCATTGCTTCTGTTTGTTGTTTAGGCATATTTAAACATGCATATGTTTTAATTATGTCCTTTCCTCATACTAGGATTTCTGCATTAGTTTTTGGCTTTTTGCCCATCAGTCTATTGGTATTTTGGTCTTTAAGCATATGTAACACTGTAGTTCACCTCTGACTGATGCAGGCTCATCTTACTAACTTCATAGCTAAAGTTAAATGTGCAGTATAAAGACCAAACCACTCATACAAGACAAGTGCTGTGTAAAAGTAGATATGATTTATGAATAGCACTCCAGGTTTTCTTATATATTGGCACCTATATTTTTATTTTATTTTTTTGTGGAACTTCAATATCAGTTGGCTTTTTTCAAGTTCTGAGTTTAAAAACAGAAATAATTGGAGTTAGTGGTGAGGAATATGTAGGGAATCTTTGATTTATTTTTGGTTTGAATACTTACACAGTAATATGTACACAAATCTCAATACGTGTATGAACTTACTGTTTGTAATGGTAATGTGCTGTTAGAGAAACAAAGAGATGTCAAAACTGAGGTTCCTGGAAATAAAAATACATCTGCAGTCCATAACTCTTTCAGTGTTTGAGTTCCTACTGATGTATTCAGTGCAGATGTTTATTTTTATTTAGGTATCTGTTGATGCTCTGTATGCTCTGAGTATATTGCTCTTTTCAGTATCTGTGGCAAAGCTTGCTCTGTAACTTCAGTATGAGATGAACAGATGCTTGATGAACCAGGGATGCTGGCGGGCACTGCCAGGGCAGAGTCATGCTGAGCTGAGATTTCCTAGAAGTACCAACCTCTCCTCTCATTAGTCAGATCTCTGATCCCAAATCAGTGAGTGCTATTTGGAAGTTTTATCCACTCTATCTAGATAAGCTATCTAGATAAGGAGATTAGTGCACTGGCATCCCTCTGCCTGCATGGTTCAGCCATTAACAGTCCAGTAATTTGTTAATTCAGTCATGTCTGTGATCTCTTCATCTCTAAGGCAGATTCGATTCCTTGCCTGCCCACCAGGTCTCATGGACACAGACAGAAGCTTACCTTGCTTTCTGGAACGTGCTGCTTTCTTCCCAAGATGGCCTTCTCAATGACGTTTTTAATGACTTTTTGCCCAGGGCTCACTTCTGAAATACAATTTTGCAGCTCCCTCTCATTAAGGCATACAGAGAACTTCGTTACAAGACAACGAATATTTAAGAGTGGCCTCTTCAGATATCACTCTGACTCTGTTTTGTTATGTGTTGGCACTGTAATTAGACAAAAAAAACAAGTGTTCTTTTTGTTTTACTTTACACTTTTCCAGATCATAAGCACGCCTCCCCAATGGAAATATTCACTCTGAAGCCTGCTTTTTGATGTTTTGCTGCTTACATGCTTTTAGGTTGCTCTTTTCATCACCAATTACATCATATGTGGATTATGCCCATTTATGTATATTCTGAGAAAGCTGGATTTTTATTAACTTCAGCAGTCCAGCTACTAGGCATGGTGATCCTTCTGACCTTTAGCTTTTAATGCCCTGACGTTCCATTCCCTTTTGCAGACGTTGCTGACAAATGTCAGCCTGCTGTAATGTAGCGATTTAGAGAACTGTTTACTGTGGTTTTCCTCCCGCCAAGATTTAAGGATCTTCTCTATAAATAACTATGTTGGTCATAGCTTTCTGCATGCTAATGGGATTCCCTGAACTGGGTTTTATCGTCATTAGGTCTCTTCACTGAAAGTTGGGTCTGAACACCAATTTTTTTGGAGAAATTCTGAGTTTGATGTTGAAGCATATTGTTTTACCACAGAAATTGTAATTCTGAGTAACGTAGCAAGTCCAGAAGCTTTCAAAAATAAGAGCATCATTTTTTTTCCTGTTTTCTCCTAGTCTTGCTTGCGTGAAACTTGCTCTGCTGCCTTCCATTTGTTAGCATACTTCAGTTTCATCTCCGGGTAAAATAATTGTGTTGACCTGTCATGGTGAGGGACAAACTGCTCTTTTGAACCTTAGGAGATTATAAGTCTTCCTACTTCTCCTGCTTCACCTTTCACAAAGATAATGCATTTCATAAAACTAACACCAAACTGGAAGATTTATCAGGTTTTATTCGAGTTTTTGACTAATGTTTTGAGTGGCTGATGATCGCTACTTCAGATGTCTGTGTGATAGAGACTGATGTGGGAAAGTGTGAGCTGCGGCCCACCAAATGTAAAAGCTTCTGCTTTCAGTGAATGTTCTCAAATTAAGAGGTTTGGGGGCTATTGCATTTGCATTTTCCTTGTATCATTATGCAAAAGTGTCTTCAGATGCTGTCAGATATACATCCTAGCTGTTGTGCATCATCCCTGAGATTTTAGGAAAGCCATAACCACATCTGATAGGCTGATGGGGTACTTCCCACAGGTTTATTAAGAGGTGACATTCTTCCTTGTGTCACTGTTCATATACAAATACTAAAAGTGAGTCTCTCATATTCAATGTGTTTGTACCCCCTTGCCACAGACTGATTTCAAGAGCTAGCCTTGTTTCTCTTGTTGGAAAAGTAAATCACAGAATCACCCGGGTTGGAAGGGACCTCAAGGATCATGTAGTTCCAACCCCCTGCCTAGCAGGGCCACCAAACATACACATTTAGATCAGGTTGCCCAGGACCCCGTCCAACCTGGCCTTAAACACATCCAAGGACGGGGCATCCACAACCTCCCTGGGCAGCCCGTTCCAGGGCCTAACCACTCTCCTTGTATAGAACTTCCCCCTAACATCCAACCTAAATCTTCCCTCCTTCAACTTGGATCCATTTCTCCTAGTCCTGCTGTTGTCAGCCCTTTTGAAGAGTTTACTCCCCTCGTGGGTGTAGGTTCCCTTCAGGTATTGGTAGGCTGCAATGAGGTCACCCTGCAGCCTTCTCTTCTCCAGGCTGAACAAGCCCAACTCCCTCAGCCTGTCCTCATAGGGGAGGTGCTCCAGCCCCCTGAATGAGGGGTAGATTAGTGATTTGTCATTGTTGAAAGGCATAACTTCCTGATAGCTGCTGGATGCAGTACAGGAGAGACTGCAGGCAACTCAGATGAGGGCCTTCATTTTGCTTTCCCTTGGGCAGCTGCTTGATTTACAGCAATTGGAGTTCTCTTTGGGCAATACTTTTGGAAATGAAGACAAAGTAATTGTGTTACTTGCAGTACCTCCCTAAAAGTAGTGATTTCTTCAAGAAACCGACTCATGCTTGCATGCAAAGTAGACATGGGGTTTTACATACACGGCCAAAAGGTAAAAGCTTGTCTGCTGTAAGAGAAAAATATGAGTACAAAGAGGGAATTTGCACCGTGTGGGACTGTTTTCAATAGCTAGTTACAAAGTGCTCAACAGATTGAGGACCATGAGTATAAATCATCATGTAAATCTTACCATGGATTGCTGGTGTTTTTTTTTTTTTTTTTTTTTTTTTTGTGTGTGTGTGTGTGTCCTTGGGAATAAAGCTGGTGGCATCAGATGAAAAGATTAATTTATTGTTCAGTCAGAGTCAGTAACGTGATCTTTACAAAAGTTTTTGTTGTTAGAGTGCTCCATTAAAGTGGACCAAAGGCAGCTGAGCTGAACTTCAGCAGTGACCTTGATCAAAGAGTCAGGCTTTTCAAGAAGCCTTTCTTATTCTGTTTTGAATATACTGTGGGTCACTGCAGCTATAAACCAAGAATGAGTCAAAACAAAATTCTGTAACTGGCCTGTCTGTAATGCTGAACTTCTGACTTTCTTGTAGTTGCATCTTGGGGGGAAAGATAGCTTCACCGCTAATAAAGACTTTCATATGTATAACCAACTACTGACAAATGCATAAACTTTGAGGAGATGGATTAGATTGAAAAACTAGAATTGAAAAACCTGACTTACAGCCTTTCTTTCACCCATGTGAGAAATCTCAGATGTGAAGAGATAATAGACTGAAGCTTGCAACCAGGAAATTTTATGAGCCTATCCCTGCTTGCCTTTCTAAGTGAATGTGCATAGCTGTCATCCAGTCAATGAGGAGTGTGGTTTTGAAAAATAGATAATACCATGCAATGCTTTTCCTGTCATTAACATGAAATAAAAACATGAATTTATAAACAGTGCTTCACCAAAAAGATGGTACATACACTGCAACATCCACAAAAACAAGCTTATAGAGAAGAAACTCAAACTTTTCCCATTTTTTATGACCAAACATCATATAAGTTATTTTCCTTTGTTCAGAGAATATAAGCATAAGGTATTTAAGTCTCTCATTTGCCCTTCTTGTGGCATTTCAGCTTAACGACGGTGGAAAAGCAGCCCGAGCACACGTGGGGATCGGTGACGTGGTTCTCACCATTGATGGGATAAGTACAGACGGGATGACTCATCTAGAAGCACAAAACAAGATCAAGGCATGTACAGGCAATCTGAATATGACTTTGCAAAGGTAAGGAAGCTTTTTCTTTTCTTTCTTTTTTTTTTTTTTTAAAGGAGAATTAATCATTATCATAGCAGATGTTTGGAGGCTAAAACCATGTAAGTAGTTTGGCAAAGTGCTTGGAGTTAAGTGGCCTTCATTTGAAGATACACTACTGTAACTTGAAATGTCTTGATTTATAGCATTTCAGAAAACACATTAGTTGGTAATTACTTGAGTAGCAGAGATCTTTGCCAACCTCATGTCACCTCTTCCACATTGTATGATGTCTAGCTGCTCTTTGAACTTCAGTTTTGTTAACAGTTTTCAATTAAAAATAAACCTGACCAGCCTTTTTTCTCTCTCTTCTAGTTGACTGAGGGTACTTTTTGTGTCAGGTCCTATGTTATTTTTGTTCCTACACTTCCACTTACTCCATTACATATTGCTGGAATTTCAAAAAATAAGCTGAATGGCACTGTGGAAGCAGTCAGTAGCAGCTAATGTGGCATACCGGGCCTTTCAGAGGCCAGCAATACTTTTGGTTGAAGTATGTTGTGATGAAAGTTTCTTGAAAAAAATTGCAATGAGATTGCATTACTTCAAATGATGATTATTTGCTAGCACTTGTTTAAAACAACTTTTTTTTTTTTATGAAGTATTTTGGAACCTACTACTAGGGGGAATCTTAGGAGGCATAACAACACTATTAGTAGAAGATCTGAACCTGTTTTTGGTTAATAAGTTGATGCTGCGAGTAAATCATTAGAAAATGTGCAGAGTTAAGGTATAAAAAGCAGTGAAATAGAGCAAGGTAAAATACCCACTGTTCCACAAAGCTGAACTGTGCATTGGATGTTGGTTGGGGAAGGGTGTTCGGTTTTAGTACAGATAAAAGTGAAGTACAACACTGTCCAGTTCCTGGAATTCTGCTGATTTGATAAATAGTTGACTTTGGCACGTGGCTATTGAGTACCTGCAGCAAAATCTCTCTGCTGCTGAATGATGTATTTTTTTTTTTTTTTTTTTTTTTTTCAGTCAGCCCTTGAGTTACGCAGATGAAAATACTGCAGCTTGGTATCAGAGGTGGTTCCCAAAGTGGCAGTGCAGTTGTACAAAATTGCAGCTTCCCTTTGTGAACTGCATTTACCACTATAGATTGGTTGGGCCAATCTGCTTGTTCCTAAAACTTCTTGAATTTCAGCATATTGCTCTTAGGGCATGGGGCTATGTTCTGGGAGAGGTTGGAAAAGTGGAGTGGAATGCTCACATGCTCGTTGTTGGAACTGAAGCAGGAAGAGCCAAAATAACCGCCATTGTACCCTGCTGATTGCTGCTGTGCCCTCCTTCAGCAATGCAGTTCTTCAGTGAGTGTTGGTTGAGCCCCGTGTCAATATTGTTTTAGAAACTAAATATTGTTTAGAAACTAAATATTGTTTAGAAACCTCATCAGTTTCTGCTACCTTTCTGAACAAGTTATCCTTCCTTTCAATAAGAAAAGGAACATCCCTGTCGGAGAGTACAAAAATAAAATAGTAAAAAAAAAAGGACATGGCTGTAGTCTGAGAAATGTCATGCTCTCCAGGGTGGTGGTGGTGGTACACAACATTACAAGACATGTAGTTGAATTTGTGTGTGAATGCTCTCTTTTCTGAGAGGGTACAGTTTCAGCCCTGCTTGCTGATTCTTTTTTTGTCTGTTGTCCTGCTATGCTTTGGTCTTTAGCTGTTCTTAATGAGCAATTCCTTTTGCTCAGCCTCTGAAGAAAGGATTATCTTACAGTGTGGTTCATGCCTGGGGCATTTTCTCCAGTGAAACTTGTAAAGTTGGCATTAAGAGTTTCTTGATGAAACAACCCACCAGTGGAATCATACACATTAGTGTGTCATTATTTTTTGGGTTTTTAAAAAGGCAAGCAGGTCATTTGGAAATGCCTCACTTTCCAGGAGTCCACTGAGTCACAACTGCAGGAAACCATGAGTGAGGTTTGACCCACTTTTGCCTGTCATTTTAAATCGATTGGTGAGGTTAATATCAGATATCAGAAAGAAACAGCAGGTGTGTCCCATTCAGGCAGTAACTTGCCTGGTTGGGCACAGAGATGACTGCTGTGATTTAAAAATTGAATTAATCATGAGTTAACCCAGTCGTCTCCTGTTCTCACCCTTCCTACCTTGCTCAGGAACTGACTCATGGGTTTGTCTGCTACCTCACAGCTGAAGGCTGAGTTGGGATCAGACAATCAGAGATCAAAGAAATAGCCTCAGCCCCAGTATCTGGGAGTGGGACGGATGTCCGGTCTTGAGGTGGTGCTTCTCTGCAGTCCCATGGGCTCAGCTGTTTCTAATTTTGCTTGGATCTCATGAAACCAAAGCCATGGGCAGTGCGCTCCCAGCTCTCCTGTCTGTGAGGGATTTGCTTTGTTGGTTTGTTTATTCTTTTTAGTCTGGAAAAAAGCGCTTTGCAAAGTTGGATAGACTCACGCTAGCTGCAGATGCTGCTTGCCCATGGGAAGAATGGCTTGTGGCTATAAATGGGGTGGTGAGCTAAGATTTTAATACTGAGGGATTTCCATAATTACATTCTTCTGTTCCTACCTCTTCTCTCAAAACTATATAGAGTATTCTGAGACATTACTCCTCCTCTCCGAGATTAAAGAGAAGCTGTGAATGTGAAACAGCATTGGTCTTTAAATTATTTGTCAATACCACTGATAAGAAAAGACAACTTCTTAAAAAATAAATTTAAAAAAAAAAAAAACACTTGAATTTTTATATACTTCTGCTAATTGATAGCTACAGTGTGAGAATGCTGAAGTTAGTCCTAAAAGCACATATAAACGTCTAGATAATGCCCCAGTTTTTTGCCATTTTAAAGGAAAACAGTGATCAGTGAGGGCCAGGAAAACTGAGTGTTACAGCTTGAGCTAATGGCTTTTGCAGTGTCCATGTTTGGTGAAGATAGTATAGGAACCTGAATATATTTCCACTTGGTGCTTTTTTTTTTTTTGTGGTAATACTTAATAACCTTTGTGATAAATGGTAGGAAGTACCATACTTTCATCTATGGATGCCTGCTTTACCCTTCATTGGTTATAATTTGATGCAGTTTTATGTGATTTCAAATATGTGGAAGTAAACATGCTTATGGAGACTTGAGTGAGAAGTAAAAATAGAGGCAAGATGGGAAAAAATTACTGGGTACACTACCAGCCTCACAATGGAGATTTCTATGCAACTCGTTCATGAGAGACTAAATAAAATGAACAGAGCAATTGCTATTTGCAAGTAAAACTTACATAGCTGTAGCTTTTATTTCTGCATATACATATCTACATAAATACACAACAAAGACAAGAGAGAAGTCTTTATGATCAACTTCCTTATCATAGATATTTTAATTTGGTACAACTCCCGTCAGGTTTTTATTTGACTTTCCCTATTTTTAGTGCAAAATGGAAAAAATGAAGAGAAGGAAATTTAGGTGCAAGAAGTAACTTGCCTGGAAGGCATATTTAAAGCCGTGCCTTCTGAAACTTTACATCTTAAAGGGGCATGTTCATGGAGGCAGTTGTGCATGTATCTTGATTGAAAAACCAAATTAGCTGTTTTGTAACCGAATGTCAGTGCAATACTTAAAGAGGGAGAATAAAAGCTTCCTTTCTTCATGTGTAAGGCTACATTACATGCTGTTTTTTATATATTCACTCGTTTGTTACTGAAGGAATTGGTATTATAGCTGTCATAATTAAAAGTCCACTTTGTTTGGAGATTGCTTAAATACAAATAGATAAAACTTTGGTTGCCTGCTGTACACAGCTGGAGATTCTCAACGTTTCTATTGCTGGGAAGTGTGTTCAGGTAATGTCTTTAAAACTGATTAGCTCTGGACACAGGTTTTGTTGGTTAGCATGAAAGTTATAATTTCATTTCACAATTTTTAAAATACAATTTGTAGATGTTCTGTTCATTTTTTCCTCTTACATATGGCTAAAAAATTCTCCTTTTATAACATATGATTTTACCTTCTATTTAATGTTTTCTTTCTTCATATATATATATTTTTAAGAAACATTAAATGTGTTTAATAGTTAAGAATTATTTCGTTATGATATTTATCCCTTCCTCCCAGAGACCTTGCTCTTTTGCACCCCAGTATTTTATTTTTCTGTTAAAGTCCTTTTGTGGTTCCCATGAGGACAGATGGAAACCAGATGCTTGCTTTTTGAATATCAACTTTAGTAACTTAGCATGGGCTTCCATAAATAAACTTGTAAGTTACTGAACAGCTAAGAGCCACCACCAATTTTAAATATTGTTTTTGGGGACTATTTCTCCAGACTCATGCCTTAGTTATTTTTTGGAATTGAGAAAGCTGAAGATCATGTATTTCTACTGTTACGTGACACCATGATTCCCATGAAACTTCTGGAAAAAGTGGCAACGAGCAGTGCATGGATTAAGAAGAAACAGTAGAGAAAATCCTGGAAGGCACTGGTGGTTTTTTTACTTTTAAAATGTGGAATTTATTTACCTTTCTAATTCATAAAACAGATCTTCATAGTGAGAAAACGGTGCTACTTCTGAAGGAGTTTTTTTCATCTCTCTCTGAGAGCAGGAACAGAAAGCTATGGAGCCGATTCACTTGGGAAGAACCCTTGAGGATGTTTGTTATTTACTTTTCTATCACCTTACAGCAGTGCTTCAGAAATCTTTTGGGTGCTGTGTGTCAACACAGAGTGGTTTCTCTAATGCTGCTTCCATTTCTGCAGTGGTTGAGTTCATGGATTTTTACAAACGAAAGTGGGGTATTGCAATGCAGCCAATGAATTTCAGAGATGCCTATGGGATTTTTGGTTTTGTTTTTCTGAATTTTTAGGACCACAGGGCTACCCAGAAGTTTCAGGTGAGGCTAGAGCCAGCTGGGCAATTTGATATCCATAGAAGCAAGACAAATTTGGAGGCAAAATTCAGATGAGTCTTAAGACTGAGTTCTGCAGTTAATAAACCAAATGTCTACACCAGTGACAC